TTTGTTGGCTTGAGTTCAACAAAATCACTAAGTCATAATCGACAGCCACACAATTTGTTTTATTGATATCAATGATCTAAGGGACTAAAAATAAAAATACATTTTACTTGATATACACAATTTAAATACATTTTTATTAAAACATAAATTAGTAAAAAAATTAATTAGCATTTGTTTATACATTTTCCAAAAGATTCTTTTTTCCTCTAAAATATAAATCATGATTTATAAATATTCCTTCAAAATTACTTAGGAGGAAATTTAAACATAAACTTGAGGAATTTAAATACATCTAATTAAATATTTTATAAATATAAAACTACACTACAAGCATGAGATACCTCTAGTTGCTATGTAAGAATTTTTGTCACTTTCATGTGCCAGCTAGTTCCACATTGTTTTAAAACACAGGCTTTAGTATTGTGAGGCATGTTGAGGGCAGTGGTCAGGAGATGAATGTCATTGAAAAGATGGTTTGGATTAAGGACAGTTATGTCAAAAAAAGAAAGAGAAGAAGGAGAAAGAAAGAAAGAAGAAGAAAGAAAGAAAGAAGAAAGAAAGAAAGAAAGAAAGATAGAAAGAAAGAGAGAGAAAGAAAAAGAAAGAAGAAAAAGAAAGAAGAAAGAAGAAAGAAAGAAGAGAAGAAAGAAAGAAGAAGAAAGAAAGAAAGAAAAGAGAAAGAAAGAAAGAAAGAGAGAAGAAAGAGAAAGAAAGAAAGAAAAGAAAGAAAGAAAGAAGAGAGAGAAGAAGAAAGAAAGAAGAAAGAAAAAATGACGAAAGAAAGAAAAGAAAGAAAGGAAAGAAAGAAAGAGAGAAAAGAGAGAGAAAGAAAGAAAGAAAAAGAAAAGATGGTTTGTTACCCACAGATCCCATAAGAAGAGGGCACAGTATGCTATGGGGTGGGCCAGTGGGGAAATGCATATAGATATACAGACACACACACATATAGACAAATTTAAGATGAATTGTTTATATCGCACAGTGTTCCTCAGGTGAGCTCTGCAGCCACTGCACATACCACGTAAGTTCAGTGCAGGATCCCACACGTGTATTTCCGTGGCCACAGGCAGCTAGAACCGAGCAGTGGCTACAACCCTCAAATGGGCACCTGACATTCCAGCCCCTGCCCCTCTCGACACTGCCCACTGTTGTGGTCTTGGGTTTTTGCCTTTTGCCGTCATGACTTCCCCGTTGTCTTTCTTCCAGCAAAGAAGAAAATGAAAGCTAGCTTGCATGCGTGTTTCCAACAAAGTTGATTAAAGAAAGGTAAATCAAGAGGCCAGAGCTTTTAAGAAAAATGAGGCAGAACACGCTTCTTTGCTAAAGAAAAGAATAATCCCACAGGCTTAATATGAAAAACAACAACAAAAAAAAGCGTTCGGTATGAAAAACATTTGTCCAAAGCATATAATTTACAAAGTCGATATAAAGCAATTCACAGTAAGTTTTACCTGGATGAAGTGTACCAAAACACCTAATGAAATGAAAAATAGAATAGAATTTCAAGTGGTTTATTTACAATGTGAGTAAAATAAGCAATGCTGCCCGGGCACACAGTTATATATTAAGTGAAAAAATTGGCACAGCCATAAAAACCCTTTCAGATGGTGGGTTTATGACAGAACATCATAGCGGGCAGCTGAGTACGGGACAGAAACAGCATTTACGAATGTGACTCTAACCAGAAACGCTCGTGCTCAGAACACTGGCTTTCAGACAAGTTGCTTGAAAATAAAGAAGTCATTGGTGATATTTTCTATTACAACTGAGGCGAGCACAGATAACAGCTGCCTGTTACCTGTATTTCTTCATCCTTTCAGTTGAATTTTGATGTGACTGAAGTTTGATATAAACTTTGGGACATAGTGCCAATGATAGCTTACACATACCAAGATGTACTGAGAAAAGTCCTGGGAAATTAAATGTGGGCTGGTACCAATTAGTAAACTGAACGACAGATAAGGCTTTTGGAATGGTCGAGGTAAATGTGCTACCATACTTAAATCCAAAATGGTAGCAGTTTGAAAGGGCGTAGTATTTAGCTACTCGTTAAATCATTCACTCAGGAATAGTTTGCACTAAAACTTTGAAAAAACGCAATGCCTGAATACTCTGTGCTCCTAGGTCTAAAATCATAGCCAGTTTATACTTACTGGACATGTAATGTAATGTCCATGTATGGCATGGTACCACAACATGTATGGCATGTATGACAACGTGTGTGACATACATAACATGGTACCACAACATGTATGGCATGTATGACATTGTGACATGTGTGGCATGGTGCCACATGTATGGTACATATGACAACATGTGTGACATGCATGGCATGGTGCCGCAACATGGAGATCAAGTGATCCGGTTGTGCCGCAGTGACAAAGAGATTTTTATTAATTTTTGGGAAAAAAATGGACATGTTAATGCAATGTAAAGGAAAAAGAATCTCACCACATTCCCTCAGCCAAAAGTGAATACAGATTTAGTCTTTCGGGTTGACGTTAACCTATCCCAAGAACTTTGAACTCTCTACAAAGTTGTTCACACGTAATTTCAAAAGGAGCAAAATAGCTCATTTTCCATCTCTGAAATCCATTTCCTGAAAGTGGAACATCTCCAAAACTGTAGATTTGAAGACTGAATGGCAAAAAAAAAAAAAAAAAAAAAATCCTCAGATTTCAAACTTTATGGAGTGCACTCAGTATTCAAGTCACCCTCTCATTTAACATCCAAAATTGGAATAAAAGCTACAATAGAATTTATCCTACTGCACTACAATGAAAAGTAAATACAGTGATGTTAGAAAAGCAGAATTTTACAAACATCTCGAGCACTTAAACTACAAAAACCACTATGCAACAATCTACCCGTGTGTAGAAAACCTGCATTTGTGAACAGCTGGTTTTCATTATGAAGCTGCATAAAAACTAAATGTCACTCCCTGTTAGAGGTTTAAGGATGAATTCTGTTTATACCCTGCAACATGGAACACAAGACCCGACATTATCATCTTAGTACAAAAAAAACGAAAAATAATTGCCACGTTTCTATGTCCTAATCAAAAGCATAAGGAATTATATACATAAAATAAAAATACATAAAATATAAATGAAAAGTCTAATGAATTACATGTTAAAATGTATTAAAATGCATTTATTAAACATATTAAATATGTTTATTTTTTAAATTTCAGATTGGTACTATAACTCCTACATATTGCTGTAATGATCTTATAACAACGTAATATGTAAAAATAGAGAAGGATTGACTATATTTCCAGTAGTTGGTTTTTCTTACACTCAATGCATTTCACTTTTCACTTGTTTATGTCTACTCTCTTGGTCCTGTAGCCTGGTGGTCCTCAGCCCCCCGTCTGCCATCCTCCCCATGCCCCCTCTCCTCTGTCCATGGAAGGATCGTCTTCCATGATACTGGTCTCTGGGGGCAGAGAGATTGGGGGCCAACACTTTGGTCAGGTCCCAATGTGATCCCTGCTCTAGATTGTGAGTTTCTCCTGGTTAGAGACTCAGAAAGTATACCATTCAACCAGCTTCTCCTGTTTGTTCCTCTGTGATTCGTCAACAATGTAACAAATATTTGTTGATGTCCTACTATCTATCTGGCACAGAAGCTAGTGCTACAGTTGCAAAAGTAGATTTTGCAACAATTCCCATGCTGGAGGGAACTCAGATTCCAATTGGAAACAAAGTATTCAGTAAATGTTTGAACTGAATTGATTAGCTGTCCGAATACCACAATGGCAAAAAAAAAAAAAAAGTCCTGAGTTACAAAATCTACAGAACTAGAAGTTCTTTGCAACGTAGAAGGCAACATAACAGCTTATAAAATGCATCCCCAAGAGAAAAAATTATTCTCGTCTGCAGGGTTTGATTTGCGAAAACATCTGGCGCAAGGGGAAGCATCAGATTTTGCATTCAGGGAGACTAAAATTTAAGTCCCTGGAGCTCATTAGTGAATTAGCATATAGGCTGGTTCACCTGAGCCGGGTCCAAGCCATTTCCCAGGGCTGCGGCAGTAAGTAAGCTTCCCCCAGGAGACACGATTGAAGCATATGTCTAAACAAACAAGCCTTTGTCTTCCCTGACTTCGGATTCTGTTTCTGGCTTTGTTATCACACTTGGAATCCAAAGGATGGCACTTCTAAGCCTGGTGCATTCAGCTCAACAGTCTCCGTGGTGAACTGCACTTTCATTTTCCCTCACATGGAAATTTTCTTTAGGTTAATTGCCTTTTAAGACACAGCTGGGCTGATATCAGAGGCTGTAGCATAGTAGCTCTTCGCTGAGCTGCATACCGTGTTTCCCTGAAAATAAGACAGGGTCTTATATTTATTTTTCCTCAAGAAGACACCCTATGGCCGGGCGCGGTGCTCCCCTGTAATCCTAGCACTCTGGGAGGGAGGCGGGCGATGCTCAAGTCAAGGAGTTCAAAACCAGCCTGAGCGAGACCCGTCTCTACATAAAATAGAAGAATTAATTGGCCAACTAATATATAAATAAAAATCAGCCGGGCATGGTGGCGCATGCCTGTAGTCCCAACTACGTCGGAGGCTGAGGCAGGAGGATTGCTAGCCCAGGATTGTGGTGCTGCGAGCTAGCTGGATGCACGGCACTCACTCTAGCTAGGCAAAAGCGAAGACTCTGTCCAAAAAAAAAAAAAAAAAAAAAGAAGAACCCTAGGGCTGATTTTCAGGGGATGTGTTAATTGTTTTAAGTACCGTACAACAATTACATTATTCTACAGTGTTCTACATGTATTCTACATGTATTCATCACTCTCCAGACCAAATTCCATCCTGAATTTCTTGCGACTCTATTCTTTAAACACTGCCCCGATCTCTCATGTCAGCCATAGAGCTCTCATGGGCAGATGAGAAGGGTTGATCGTCTCTTTCCCGCTCCGCGACGACACGCATGGGTTGTGCAGACCGCTGCGCAGCCACGCCCGTCACTAGGGCTTATTTTCGGGGTGGGGCTTCTATTGCGCACATGCTTAGAAATCCTGCTAGGGCTTATTTTATGGGTAGGTCTTATTTTCAGGGAAACACGGTAGTTGCACAAGACATAAAGGCATAGATGAAAATTGAAGATGGCATGGAGGGTTCTGAGGTTGAAATGGCAAATGCAGAAAATAAATGTAAGCATTGTTATATCCCACTTGGAGAAATATTCAATTTCTCATCATTAATTAACCAAAAAAAAAAATAGAGTTGTTCTTTGATCTCCCATAACTTTGAGTTATTTGCTAACCTTGTCCTTCTTCCGCTGTGTCAATCCACACGGCCCAGCTGAATTCTAAGAGAATTCCACGTTATCACATCAAAGGCCCATTCCACGCAAGGTCCTGGAGACTGGCAGTTCCGGAGGCAGGAGAACAGCTAGAAAGCTTTTCCACCAAAGACAGAATGAAGAATGAACGCAATTTATCTAGTGAAAAAGACGGGGGTATGAAATGCAGGCAATTCACAAAAGCATGAAACATCACGGTGGACGAAAAGAAAATATAAATTGCTTGGACAGCAGAGAAAGAAGGTTCTGGGTCTGCCTGGGAGATGGGGCTAGAGCCAGTAGCCCGGGGCTTAACCATTCTTCAAGGCAGAATTTAAAAACAACAAACCAAAAAAACAAACCCCTTTTTATTTTTCTGGTCCACGCACCAGTTGATTCAGATTCAGTAAGCATGGGATTGGGACCCAAAATATCTTATTTTTTTCTAAATGCTTCCTAGGTTCCAGCTGACGATGGCAGACTGAGCCATATACGCATTTGCTTCCCAAACTGCCTTGAAAGTAAAGAACCAAAATGAATCACCCCCCACTGCGAGCAGAAGAGATCGTAATCTATCACCCAAGAAAAAGGCCCCCGCAGTTGTGAAAGCTACAGTTTCTAGCAGAGCTGCAGAGAGGCTTCAAAATTGGAGTGAGCAAAAGCGAGTCATGGAGAATGTGACCAAAAAAATAATGGGGATGATCTCCTCTGAGGCCCTGCACCACTGGCTTGGGTGGCAGAGCCCACTTGTTTCAGGGATCCCAGGAGGCACCCCTGGCTCCCAGGACTCTGTGTGTGGGTCTGGGGGTGGGGGATGGGGAGCAGGGCCAGGCAGGGGGTGCAGGGGAGGAAACTCCTCACCAGGAGAGCCAAAGACAGGGTTGTGCCTTACTCCAGGAGCCCCCAAACCGGGTCACCCTCGCCCTGCCATTTCCCCAGCCCTGGGCGGCTTGCTGCTTTTCCCTCCTCTTCCTGCCCTGCCCTGCTCTGAGCTGCATGGTCCCCCAACCCTGGGCAGCCAGGAAGGAACAGGAATGGGGAGTCATCAACAACAACAACAAAAAAGACTGGGGCCCTCCCCCCACCCCATCCACCTCCACTTCCCTGGCCGCCCACTCACCCACGCCTCTTTCACGCGGGCCGGGCGCCCACCTTGTCCCCGTGAAGTGCCAACACCCTCCCTGACCCAGGCCGAGCCCCACCCTCTCCCCGGCCCCCAAGAGAGATTGCACATTAACTACTGTAAGGAGAGGAGCAAATGTGAACTATGAGGATATCAGTGATACTGATGAGAATAAACTAAACGCCTTTGTAACAGAAAAAAAAAAAAAAATTATGGGGATGAGAAGACTCCCTAGGGAACACTTCCACCTTGTGAGAAATAAACTTCTTTTTCTTTTTTTAGACTTAATCCTTCGGAGCAGATTTAGGTTCACAGGGAAATTGAGCAGAAGGTACAGGGAGGTCCCATGTATCCTCTGACCCGCCACACACAGCCTCTCCCGCCGTCCACATCCCCGCCGCACGGTGCGTGTGTGTTACAATCCGTGAACCTCGGTCTACACAGCATGGTCACCCAGAGCATGTATGTAGTTCACGCTGGGGCTCACTCTTCCTGCTGAGCGTTCTGTGGGTCTGGACAAGCGTGTTAGGACACAGACCTACCGTCACAGTACCATGCAGAGCATCTTCACCACCCTGAAAATCTGTGCTCCTGGCCGGGCGTGGTGGCTCACGGCTGTCATCCTAGCACTCTGGGAGGCCGAGGCGGGAGGATCGCTTGAGCTCAGAAGTTTGAGACCAGTCTGAGCAAGAGTGAGACACCCCCATCTCTACTAAAAAATAGAAACAAATTAGCTGGACAACTAAAAATATATAGAAAAAAATTAGCCGGGCATGGTGGCACATGCCTGTAGTCCCAGCTACCAGGGAGGCTGAGGCAGGAGGATCGCTTGAGCCCAGGAGTCTGAGGTTGCTGTGAGCTAGGCTGATGCCACGGCACTCACTGTAGCCTGGGCAACGGAGTGAGACTCTGTCACAAAAAAAAAAAAAAAAAACCTGTGTTCCTCCTTCCCCAATCCCTGGTTAAAAGCAACCCAGCTTTTAACCATGTATCATAGACGCTCTTTGAAAGAAAGATACTAGGGAAATGTAAGAGATGCTATTTCCAGCCTGATTAACTTCTCCCCCACTGGGAGTACGGGAAGAGAATCCCTCCCTACAAATTCCTTGGGAGCTAGGAGTGAGAATCTTCCCATTTCATTATCACAAATACCCCTGAGGCTCAGACCTCGGCAGGGACCCAGAGGGAGAAAGGCAGGAAGTGAGGGGAGAACTGCTGTCTTCTCTGTGCATCTCAGCCACGGGGCAACGGATACTATATGGCCTTTAAGGTCATTTCTATTGACTTATTAGGGCAGCGTAAGAATGACAACATAGAGCTTCAAAACAAGCCAGCCAGGTCTGGGGCTGTACTGGCAGCAGGAATCGGACTTTCCCTTTCAACGAATCTCTCAGAAAAGAAGACATCCCCTGATAGGTAAAGTTGGTAAAAAAAAAAAAAAAAAAAAGAATAAGCCAAAGTCCCCATTTGCAACGTTCTTTCCTTATTCTTGTCTGTTCACTGGAGAAGGGGGGAAACCAGCAGGACTACGGAGTCAGTGCTGGAAGACCCCAGTGCTAGCCCTGACTCCAAAGGGGAGGGTGGTCAGGACCCCGAAAGTCCAGGGTTGTCGGGGACCCAGCCCACCGTGGGAAGCTGGGGACAGCGAGAATGCAGGACAAGGCGAGCTTTGGGAAACCGGCTCGAACCAGTCCTCAGCCGCTGCCTGGAAGGGGTCCCGCACTTTAGGAGTGCGGGATGTCGGTAACATCCCTGCTACCGACAGGCACCAGGGATGTTTTCAGGACGGCATCCGAGTGTGCTGAGACGCTCACCCCCAACGAGGCAGAAGCTCAGTCGTGTAAACTGAGCAAATGTAACTAACACACACGATCAGGTGATGCAAATGCATGAGGGAGAAAAGCCCCAGGCCTACCTGCGCGCGGCTGCTCCAGACATCCCGTCTTCCAAAGCGCCGCAGGTCCTACGGTAGACTCCACGAGATCACGGGCTCAAATCTGGTGCGAGTCCACCAGAAGGGCTCGCACAGAAGGGGCTAGGAAAAATGCCCCGACTGAATCTGTAGCTTAAAATTCTTTTGCGATCCCAAATGGAGGAGTAAACAAAGGAAAGAACTCTCACTTTGTAGGATTGAGAAATTAACTATCTTTTTTGATGGGGGGACCTTCACGTTTTATTGAGTTTTTCTTTTTTTTTTTGAGACAGAGTCTCACTTTGTTGCCCAGGCTAGAGTGAGTGCTGTGGTGTCAGCCTAGCTCACAGCAACCTCAAACTCCTGGGCTCAAGCGACCTCCTGCCTCAGCCTCCCGAGTAGCCTGGACTACAGGCATGTGCCACCATCCCCCGCTAATTTTTCTAATATAATTAGTTGGTCAATTAATTTCTTTCCTATTTATAGTAGAGACGGTTCGCTCGTTCGCCAGGCTGGTTTCGAACTCCTGACCTCGAGCAATCTACCAGCCTCAGCCTCCCAGAGTGCTAGGATGACAGACGTGAGCCACCGCTCCTGGTCTCATGTTTTATTGGGAAAAAAAAAAAATGTTTAATGCAGTCATGTCTCATGCCCTTCCTTCTACAATGAGGTTTTGTGGGTTGTTTTCACACTCAGTGTGGTCCACTGAGACCTTCAGGTCCTTTCTTTGCCGTACTTGCATGCAATCCATCATACAGCCAAGCTGTACCCGTGTTGCACACATCTGAGCGTGTGCACAGGAAGCTGCGGCGGGAGTCGAACCCTCCCCTTTGCATGTGTCTCTAGTGAGTTCAGTTTGGGCAAGGTTCTGACCTCTCCTCCTGCTATGTTGAAGGGAATCGGTCTCCTGCTCACAAACGTGGCTTTGTTTGTCAATGAATAAACCACTTTTCATCCCGCAGTCCTGGTAGGAAACCAAAACAGCCCAGGCTCGGGGCGGACTGGTCTCGGACAGCATCTGCAATGTCCCCTCCCACCCCCTTCCCTCCACAACGGGCCATTGAAAATGCCTCTTGGGTGACCGGCTCCAAGCAGTCTTGAGCCATCCACTAAGGAGAACTGGTGGTTTGGAAGATGTCCTTCTCCATTTTTATCTGTGACGACATTCCATGTGGATCCATCACGGGACTCTACGTTGTGGAGAGGTTGTTTTTCTTGTTTTGTTTTGTTTTCACATTTAAATATTCATTTTTCTCTCTCTGGCCTGACCCCCCTCGAGAGCATCCTCTGCAAATCCTGCCCGAAGACACCCTTTTCCTTTCCGAAGCGCCAGGCACACGGCTATTAGCTTTAATGTCCGTTTGTCAAAGTCGGCCCTAAAAATTTAAAATTCAATGGAATCTCTCCAACCTGGTGAGATCACAGTGGTGAGTGGCTCTTTCATAAATACCAGGGAGAGAGTAGAATCTTCGAGCCTTTTCCGAGAGGCTGATGCAGCTGCTGCCGCTGCCTTGGTGACGGCCAAGTGGGTTCTCGAGGAGCTCTTCACTCGAATGGGCTGTTTACTTTCTGCGCACAGGAGGCGCGCCTAGGAACGGTGTCTGCTTGCCGCAGGAGGGCAGGGTTCGGCTAATCGATTCTGTCTGCTTTATGTGACTAGCTCTCAGGCCACTTACCGACACAGGGCAAGTGATGAGGGCTTGTGCTGGCTCGAATAAACCGGATCCCGGGTACCCCCGTCACCTGTAGCAGAGGCTGATCAGGCAATTCTATAGACAGGTGCCACCTCCTCTGAGCACAGAAAAGGACCTGCCTGGGAGGCATGCCTGTCCACTACTAGGTCACCTGGACACCCGTCTTGGTCAGTGGTTCCAGGCCCAGGGCCCAAACCTGTGGGGTTAAAGAGCGTCTGGACAATTCCAGAGCCTTCTGTGGGATGGGCACTCACATTCTCCACTCTCAGCGGCTCCTCCACCTGCTGAGAGCTTGGCAGGGAGGAAATGGCACGAGATGGTGTCCCCTCTCGATGTCCAGCTCATCGGTGCTGGACTTGTACATGACCTGCCCAAACAGGAGACAGATCGCAAAGCTGAGCACCTAGAACAGTGACGGGGTGGACCATGTCTGACCAGAGAGGAAGAAAAGCCGGAAGCCCGGGCCAGCCGGTGGGTTGGGGACCGGAAGACCACACCCAGGAGCACACCGATGCAGAGACAAGGTTGCTGACAAGAAGCAAAAGACACAAAAGAGGTGAAATGGCCTTGACATTGCCTGCAAATCCTTTGACATTTTTCCTGCAGAAGGTGGAGTCTAATGTCCCCGCCCGTACACACGGACCGCCCCTAGTGTCTTGCTCGTGATGGGCAAAACCCAGCAGAGGTGGCCCCCTGAGACTTCTGTGGTTTACTTGCTACACGACTCCCTTGCGTCACACACCCTCGGAGCTCTGAGCCACCGGAGAGAAGTTGGCCACCTGGAAGCCACCTGGCTGGAGGGACCCCAGAGAGGTAGCCCCCGGGGTTTCCTGCTCCCGGTGTTCCCGGCCCCGACCCCTGGCACATGGCGAGGGACCTTCAGAGGCTCCCAAGCCCCAGATCTGAGAAACTAAAGCCCAGTGGGGCAAAAACAAACCATTCCCACGGGGCAGTTTCCCAGGAAGCATCCCTCTGCGTTGTTTTAACAAGGACACCGGATATCGGTGTGGATGGCTCTGTTGTCACGGGAACCGGGCTGGGGGAGGGGATGATGACCCCATAAGCAAGGGCGGAGGGAAGTTCCAGAAGGCAGGACGCTGACCCTGGGGGGGAAATGGGCTCTGGAGGGCGTTTTGATGTCGTCTCATGGCTGGCAGTGGAAGAACTAGAAAAACAATTATATTATGTTTCTTATCTTTTTTTTTTAGTAATTTAAATATTACGTAAGCCCAGAGAATAACATTTAAATACAGCCATGCTCCCAGCACCTGTGACTGGCAGTTGACTTGTTTTATTTAATTTATTTTATTTTTTTGAGATGGGGTCTCACTCTGTTGCCCTGGCTAGAGTGCCGTGGCGTCAGCCTAGCTCACAGCAACTTCAAGCTCCTGGGCTCAAGCGATCCTCCTGCCTCAGCCTCCTAAGTAGCTGGGACTACAGGCATGCACCACCATGCCCAGCTAATTTTTTCTATTTTTAGTTGTTTGGCTGATTTCTCTCCATGTATTGTAGAGACAGGGTCTTGCTCTTGCTCAGACTAGTCTCAAACTCCTGAGCTCAAACAGTTGTCCTGCCTTGGCCTCCCAGAGTGCTAGGATTACAGGCGTGAGCCACCGAGCCCGGCTGACTTTTTTATTTTAGATGGTGTTTCTTTTCCTTCTCCTGAATTCCTGTCGCCCTGGCTGTTTCACACACCTGCTGGGCCTCTTGGTCATCACCGTCCTACCCAGTCCCGAGACTCTGCTGCCAAAGGGACATCCTACACCCTGCCTTCGTCCAAGCCCAGATCACATGCCGGGCACACGCTGGGCACTGGGTTTCCATGGTTGGCCTGGCAGAAGGACCTACCCACTCCCAGACCTGGGCTGGCTTCGGCCCTGGTCCCGGCCCCTCTTCTTTCTCCTGGACAACCTCAACTGTCTAGCCAGAGGCTCTCTGACGTGCATCGGAACCACCTGGAAAGTTCGTTAAAACAGATTCCTAGACCCCAGCCCCAGAGATTTGAATTTGGTAGGTGCGAGATGAGGTCTGAGAATTTGCATTCTAGCCAGCAAGCCCATACGTGCTGCTGGCCCTGCCCGGTGGGCAACCACACCCAGAACAACAAAATGTTATTATTTATTTGCAGCCCTGGCCTGTTGCTTGATAGTGGATTGTCCAAGGGGCAGAGGCCACTCATCTTGGATAACTCAGATGGCTATCTTCACCCACTGGTCTGCTGGAAGCGTCAGAATCCCAGGTTTTGGCACCAAAGATGGCAGGGCGGGAGTCTGCCCTTGGTTCTTGGTGTTCTTCTCGTGCCAAAGAATAACCAAACACTCCAGCATGTCAAATGCAGACCATTACTCCAGTCTTTCTAAGACTCCTTTCTTGTTTTCAAAGTCTGTATTCTATTTTTGTAATAAAACACTGTGGCCCCAAGGGGAAAAAAAATTTTTTTTTTCTTAGTGTGGCAGTTCATGTGCTAAGGAAAGGGCATGAGAAGTCAAAGACAAAGCTTTCGGGGAAACCAAGGCTTTGTGGTCAGGAGGAAGAAAAGGAACGCCCAAGGGAAATGGGGCCCGGAGCTGTCAGACTGGCAGAGACAAGTCGGGAGCAGGGGGCTGGGTAGAAGCCGGCGATGGGAGAGCGACCAGCACTCAGCAGAGCCGAGCATTTCGGGCGAACAAGAACGGAGAAGCGGGCTGGGCGAGGTGGCTCACGCCTGTCATCCCAGCACTCTGGGAGGCCGAGGCAGGAGGATTGCTTGAGGTCAGGAGTTCGAAACCAGCTCTGAGCAAGAGCAAGACTCCGTCTCTACTAAAAAGATACAAAGAAATTAGCTGGACAACTAAAAATATATAGAAGAAATTAGCCGGGCATGGTGGCGCATGCCTGTAGTCCCAGCTACCGGGGAGGCTGAGGCAGGAGGATTGCTTGAGCCCAGGAGTGTGAGGTTGCTGTGAGCTAGGCTGACGCCACGGCACTCACTCTAGCCTGGGCAGCAAAGCGAGATTCTGTCTCAAAAAAAAAAAAAAAAAAGAATGGAGAAACGACATGGGCCACCGGTTTCGTCCTGATAAAGCTAAAGGTATCTAGGTACCGTGCGGATGTGAAAGGGTTAGCTTGAAAAAGGAGAAGTGGCGATTTTCCCTCTGAGAGAGGAGGGAAAGAGAGGACGCTCTTGGCGTCAGAGCTGGAGAAAGCGAGGCAGCAGGGAGGAAGCGAGCTGGCCAGGGCGGTCCGGGCACTTGGGAGCTGAGCTCTGGGGCCCATCAGGGGGCCCTCGGGGCACAGGTGCGCTGCCTGGCTCACTGCCTGCAGGTGCGATTTCTATCCTCCGCTCTCGGCCATCGGCCATCGAGAGCTGCTTCTCCAGGCAACCCACGGAGGTCACCGATTCTCCCCTTAGACGCGGGGCCCCTTCCCCAACAGCTGGAAGGAAGTGGGAACTCGAGCCCCTGTCATCACTTAGAGTCCCCGAACGCCTCCGGTGCGTTTTCTCAGCAGATGGGCCGTTCACGTTTACGTACTCTCACCGAAATGCGAGCTGAGATGATAAATTTAGCTGGCAGGCTCTGCCTTCCTTCCCCTTCCCTGCTCTGCCTCCAACTTTCCTGTCTAAAGTCACCTGCATGCGGCCGAGGGGAACAGCGCCAGAGTGGGGCCATCTGGAGGTTTGTTCCCAAGTGTCCCAAAAGTGAACTCTTAGGAAAGGGAAAGGGAATATACTATGTTTTCCTGAAAATAAGACCTACCCATAAAATAAGCCCTAGCAGGATTTCTAAGCATGTGCGCAATAGAAGCCACACCCCGAAAATAAGCCCTAGTGACGGGCGTGGCCATGCAGCGCATCTGCACAGCCCATGCGAGTAGTTGCGGAGCGGGAAAGAAGACGAGCAGCCCTTCCCATCTGCCCCGTCGTGACAGCTGCTGTCCCAGAGGTGACCGGAAAGGTGCGGGCAGCCCCACCAACAAGGTCGGCTCCCCCCGTCGGGTCCCGGCCACCCTGTGCGTGCTGCAAGCTGAGGCTTTGAGGGGAAAATACCACATCCCCTGAAAATCAGCCCTGGGGTGTCTTTTTGAGGAAAAACAAATATAAAACCCTGTCTTATTTTCGCGGAAACACGGTATATATCTGCACCTATTGTCTGGCTCCTACGTCTCCTTTCTGTGCTCCAAATGGACTGGAATTCTGTCTCACTTCATTCTTTTTATTTCTGGTTTACCACTTACCCCCAAAGAAGAGAAGAAAAGCTGTCTTTCCTGGGACACACAGGTAAGTTTCCTTCACTCTGCACCCAACTTGAGACCTGACGCCAGGCCGTCCCACAGCCCACCCGGGCTCCACCTGGACCCTGCAGATATAGACGAGCGATGTTGAGTTTACAGAGGCTTTCAAGAGAAATTAGAAGGTAAGAATACTATTGAACCCAGCAGAAAATACTTGAGAGCCTCTGCCTTTTCTTCTCCCAGACTTAGTTCTTTTCTCCCACGAATGCTCTTCTGAGCGAACTTTTCAGGGCAGATGTTAGCTTTCACCCCTTTTTGGATCATACTGTACCCCTCTTCCATATATATATATATATATATATACATATATATATACACACACACACATATATATATATTAATAGCATCATTTAGCTCTCTTTGCTTCTCAAATGTACAACTCATACTCACCATCTTTCCTGGCCAACAATGAATAGGCCTTGGGCTGAATCCTCTTTAGAAAGCAAAGGGTCTGATTAATATCAGTTTTTATCTCTGTCACGATTTCGTAGGATACCGACTCTCAAAATCCCTTTAGAAGGCTCACACTTTGGTGACAAGTCTTTGTCACTGAACTTAGATTCCTTCTCTCATCCTTGGAGCACAGGGAAAACCACAGTGAGAGTCAGAGGAATACAGCCATTGGGTTTAGGTGAAAATCATACGCTTTTGAGAAAAGCAGTCATAGAAATGTGGAGAATCAAAGTTTCTTGCGATGAGAAAATAGAGGCAAAACATTCCACTTTTTCAAACTGCCGGACAAGACAGATCTAATGGTAACGTACAGGTGTGGGAATTGGTACTATGGAAGTAATAATCTCTTGCTGCCCCATAGCAAGATTGAGGTAAGAAATAACTAACTTGGGCAAATGTATGTTTAAAAACAAACAATGCGGTCTAAACAATTTCTGTTAAATGTTTATTTTTCGTTTTTTTTTTTTTTTCCTGTATAACACAGGGGACTGACGGGTCTGTAGGAAGCAGAATGGAGCTTAAGAAGCAGCCACTGTGACCGAAACAGAACAAATATATATGACAATCGCAGACATTATATAATATTAAGTGAATATAACATCTCAAATGCAAAGTGAGTAAATAAATAAAGCAGCAGTAAGTTAAAATTCATTCGTACGTCTAAGAGATAGCATCACCTTTAATCCTGAAATAAAGAAACAGAAATCCATTATGAAAAAGGAAAAAAAAAAAGTCATGGTTTTATCTGAAAGGCAATGCCCCGATGCCTCAGGAAGAGAGAACCATTACCTGCCCTTTGAAAAAGAAAGAAAAGAAAATCATGAAAGGTTCAGCTATCTACCCGGAGAAGCAAGTAAGATTAACTCATTTAAATGAACTTTATTTTCTGAGCAGAATCCACTTGCTTCTTAAAAGGACCTCTAAATGTCATCTTTTCCACTCTGACAAATGTGCCTTTGAATTCCCATTTCTGCTGCTGCCCGAGCCTTCTCTGCGATACAGTATCTGCAGGCTACGCTGCGTTCTAAGTTTAACGCCTCTTCGCTAAGTTTCTCCCTTCTCTTTGGCACCCATGAAGGGTAACAAAGCCCTGGGAAGGTGCTATTAAGAGCAACCTGCTGCTTCGCTGCTAACTTCAGGAGTGACAAGGGAGCTGCTTCTTACGTTCATAATTTTGACAGCATCCGCCAGATCTCAGCAAGCATTTTCTGTGAAGGGTCCCGGCTACCCCACTCTGCTCTCTCAGTGCGACAGCCACCACAGACGTGAAATGAGCGCGGCAGTGTCCCGATAAAACTTTATTTACAAAAGCGGGCCACAGGCCAGGTCTGGCTCTGGTTCTGTAATTTCCTGACCCTTGCAACACAGACGGTATGTTCCATTGCAACACAGACTGCAGACCCATCTTCTGATCACGAGTCGCCTATTCATCCGCCAGGAACAATCGCCGACACCGTAAAAACCCTTTGAGGTCACGAGCGGCCCACGGTGGAGGAAGAGCAAAATGAACATTCTGCTGCTGTGGCTGTACCTTAATTAAGAACAGCCGTGTTTCAAGTGGCCAACACACGTGTGTGACTCGATGCTCAACATCACCAATCACGGGGAAATGCAAACTAAAACCCCAGCGAGATACCACCTCACCCCTTTCAGCGTGGCCATTGTTAATCTGCCAGAAAACAACAGATGTTGATGTGGATGCAGAGAAAAGGGAACATTTACACACAGTTGGTGGGAATGTACATACTAATTTAGCACGGAGAGCAGTAGGGAAATTCCTCAAAGAACTAAAAGGAGACCCACCATTCAATCCAGCCATCCCACTGCTGGGAGTCAATCGAAAGCAAAATAAGTCATTTTATCAAAAAGACACCCGCACTCGAATATTTATCACAGCGCAATTCACAATGGCAAAGATAGAGAATCAACCCAAGTGTCCATCAATACATGAATGGATAAAGAAAATGTGATATACATATATATACACCATGGAATACTATTTGGACAAAAAAAAAAAAAGAATAAAACAATGTCTTTCATGGCAACTTGGATGGAACTGGAGACCATTAGACTAAGTGAAGTATTTCAGGAATGAAAAAGCAAATACTGCATGTGCTCACTCATGCATGGGATCTACGCGATGGGTCTACATCAGGGGTCCTCAAACTTTTTAAACAGAGGGCCAGTTCACTGTCCCTCAGACCGTTGGAAGGACGGACTATAGTTTTAAAACAAAACTACGAACAAATTCCTATGCACACTGCACACATCTTATGTTGAAGTAAAAAAAAACAAATGGGCAAAAACACCCGCATGTGGCCCTCGGGCCGTAGTTTGAGGACGCCTGGTCTACATGGTCGCGTAGAGAAGTATAATAGACTTTGGAGACTCAGAAGGGGGGAGGGTGGGCGGGAAGTGAGGAGTCAAAAATTACCTACTGGAGACAGCGTGTACTATTCAAGTGACAGGTACACTAAAACCTCTGACTTCACCGCCATGCAATTCATCCATGTACCAAAAACCACTTGTACCCCCTAAACCTATTGAAATGAAAATGAAAAAATTGAAATGAAATGAAAAAAAAAAAGTAATTAGGAATTATAAAAAAAAAGAGACTAGCCATATTTAAATGTTAAATAAATTAGCTGCATTAGGATAGGTGTGTGGAATTAGTGAATCACTCAGTTCCCCAGGGCTCCTCTGAGCATGTTATAAAACGGGGCTATCAAATAATAAAATGGAAAATTAGATTAGTTGTTATATAATATTAGAGCCTCTTGTTCAATTACAAGGGCATCTCTTTCACATAAAATATATGTTCTGAGAAGGCCAAGGAGGAGGAAAAAGAAATGTGAATCTGAATTCGATGTCCTCTTTGCTTTTGTCATGAAGTTTCTAAGTTAAAGATCTCACTCCTCAGAAGTGTACTGCAATTCATGTAGTCACAATTTAATGAAACCTTCTCTTTCACAGTGGCTTTGGAGGCTCCCACGTATTTCTTCTGATGTTTCTTTCAAGATGAGGATTCAAAGAAAGATTTTTCTGTCTATGATAGTTTTGATATAAAGAACCCATTAGCAAACCTGAAATGTGTAAATTATATAGAAGGCTCTAAGATGTGCCTTAAGTTGTCAAGGCCAGCTACCTTCTCTCAAAAGGTTAATGGAGAGAAGAGGTACTTGTTTCAACAAATGATACCCTGAAAATCGCCTCTATGATCAAAAAAGATGGACTGCTTTTAATTGCAGGTGTGTACGAGGACACACATGGATAGAAAACAGTTTTACTTTTCCTTTATCGTGTTTTCCTTGCCAAACGTAGAGTTAAAATGCAGCTCTGAATGTATCCGGCGGAACATTCCTTGGCGTTCACTAACTCACGGGCTTCAGCTCAGGATTAATATGGGAACAAGCATTTTCATGAGGCCTGTGGGGTGCTTTATGGATATTTTATAATAAAATCATCATCATCTTATATAAACTGCACTCGATAATGTGTAAAGGAAAAGGGGGACCAGGGATTCACAAATGAAATGAAAGCAGTGGTTAAATTTAAAATATCATTTTGGGTTATAGCTTTCCTTTTTTTTTTTTTTTCTCCATAGCTTTCCCTGTACTGTAGACATTATTATCTTAAAATCTCTACTTTGCTGTCTCTTACTCCTCATCAGTGGTCTATGTGAATCTCAGCTAGATATTTTTTCCTAGAGAACATAATATACAACTATTTTTATTCCATCCCTTCTGTTGGAGCAATTTGACTAATTTATGAAATTTAACGTGTGTGTGTGTGTGTGTAATAAAGTTTTGTCTGTTGTTAGAAAATGAACACATGCAATCTACAAGGTTATTCCTCCATTCTAAGGAGAATAGAACTAGAATAATCGCTGCCCTCCCCAAAGAGACCAGAAATATTGGAAAAGAATTTCTAGAAGCTGGGAGTCGGGGACGCTGAAGTGTTCATGATATGGGAAACTTACTCTGACGATGATCTTCAGCACTAAAGAGGACAAGGGAAGATGGTTCAATGACACAAGGGTAAGAGCAGAAAGAGAGGAAGCTGACACATCAGTCTCATGGGAGAACCATTCGTTGCTAGAAAAATCACCTGTATCTTCAGTTCACACGGACGGACCTTAGGAGAGAATCGTTCAAGACACCGATCCTTGTCTTTTTAGATCCTAAAAGAATTCTGTGAATATAATGAGCCCCGAAGGGCCCGTCACCTGTGTTTCCAGTGTCACACCTTGCACTAGATAGATATACTGCAACCCCGAACAGCCTGTCATTAGCATTCGGAACTCAAAATACACCCCACGCAGAGAAAACACATTTATTATATCAAAGCCTTTATTACGCTCATTTCACGGGGCCCATCTCCTCCGTGAATCTTCAAACCAATTTCCCTGGGAGGCCACTGAAGAAGATAATGCATCCTCATTTTCACCCATTTCTCCCATTGCTTACTGGAGACCTTTAGCTTTACGGAAGAGAGAGCCCGGCTTCCTCGCGAATGCATCCCCCTCATTTTCCCCTTTTGTTACTTATATTTTCTTTCTTTTTTTTTAATTTTAATTTTTTAAAATTATTTTAAATTTATATTCCCTTTTTTTTCTTTTCAGGAATAAAGGGAAAGTGCTGGTATGTTTCTTATTTTTTCCTTTTTTTCTCTTTTTTTAAAAATTATTTTAAATTTATATTCCTTTGTTTTTTCTTTTCAGGAAAAAAGGGAAAGTGCTGGTATGTTTCTTATATTTTCTTTCTTTTTTATTTTAATTTTTAAAAATTATTTTAAATTTATATTCCTTTTTTTTTCTTTTCAGGAAAAAAGGGCAAGTGCTGGTATGTTTCTTATATTTTCTTTCCTTTTTTTATTTTAATTTTTTAAAATTATTTTAAATTTATATTCCTTTTTTTTTCTTTTCAGGAAAAAAGGGAAATGCTGGTATATGCTGGTATGTTTCTTATATTTTCTTTCCTTTTTTTATTTTAATTTTTTAAAATTATTTTAAATTTATATTCCTTTTTTCTTTTCAGGAAAAAAGGGAAAGTGCTGGTATGTTTCTTATATTTTCTTTCCTTTTTTATTTTAATTTTTTAACATTATTTTAAATTTATATTCCTTTTTTTCTTTTCAGGAAAAAAAGGGAAAGTGCTGGTATGTTTCTTATATTTTCTTTCTTTTTTTATTTTAATTTTTAAAAATTATTTTAAATGTATATTCCTTTTTTTTTCTTTTCAGGAAAAAAGGGAAAGTGCTGGTATGTTTCTTACATTTTCTTTCTTTCTTTTTTTTATTTTAATTTTTAAAAACTATTTTAAATTTATATTCCTTTTTTTTTTTCTTTTCAGGAAAAAAGGGGAATGTGCTGGTATGTTTCTTATATTTTCTTGTCAGGCTTTTTGGGGAGAACCGAATTGCCTAAAGCCTGCTGATGGATCATTTGTTCTCGTTGTGTCCTTCCCTCCCCGAAAGCCACAGCACACAACACGTTTCCAAATAACACGCTTCCGTCGTCACGGCCCATGTGGCTGCCCTGATTCGAAGAAGAGTCCCCCCTTCTGAAGCTCAAGTAGCCGGTGACAGAAAAGAAGTCCTGGGTTTGGTGGCAGTGCCGAGGGGTGACAGGGGGCTTCTGCTGTCTCTATCGCAGTCCTCATATGTTGATGTGAACGGTTGGCAATTTATTCGACCGCAATGCATAGCACTTCCCAGGCGCCCGTCGATTCCTTCAAGACAGCGTCTATATAGAAACTCCGGGTCCTTCGCACCACCCAGGTTCACCAGGAACTCCTCACGGTCCTTGACACATCTATAAAATAAATAACGCTCACAAAAACAGGGTTATTAAAGAACTCACCCTGGACAAAATCCTGGAACAGGTGGGCTTTGCTTGAATTCCCCATCTCTGTGCCTTCGCCCTTCAGACCACCTGTTCTGCTCCAGGTCCTTGAGGACTCAGGTCCCCGATAACTGCTCTGTGAGGAACTGAAGGTTGTGTCCTCCCCCAAAATCTGCATGATGAAGTCCTAACCCCAGAGGTGATGGTGTTTGGCAGTGGGACCTCTGGGAGGTGAATCCCACCCCGTTGAAAGAGATTAATCTCCTTATAAGCAGAGACACGCAAGCTTGCCCCCACTCCCTCCTTCTCCTACAGCAAGAAGGTGGCTGTCTGCAAACCTGGAAGGGAGTCCTCACCGGGGACACCAGATCTTCCTTCACCTTTAACTTGGACTTCCAGCCTTTTCTCTTCCTTCTTTCCCATTTCTCATTCTCCGCTTCCTCTCCACCCCGTGCCCACCTGTTCCCCCCCGAGTCTAACCGCATGCCGTGCATGACAGCTAACCACCCCCCCCTGCATATTAAAATCTGCAGATGACTGTTGAAACATGAGCACGTCTACCGGTCCAGTCGGTTGCTATATCTGTTTTCATGACAAAGTGCCCCAAATTGAGTCGTTTAAAATAATAGCAATGTATTTTCTCAGAGTTCCAGAGGCCAGAAGTCCAAGGTCAAGGTGTCAGCAGAGCTGGTTCCTTGCAAGGGTCGTGCGAGAATCCGTTCCATCCTCCTCCCTTCTAGCCGCAGGTGGCTGCCAGCAGCCCCTGGCGCTCCTTGGCTTGCAGATGCGTCACTCCAACCTCTGTCTCTGTCTGCACGTGACACCCTCCTCCATGTCTCTTTTCTTCTAAGGACACCAGTCATTCGATTCGTGTCCACACTACTCCGGCATGACCTAATTATATCTGCAAAGACACTATTTCCAAATAAGCTCACATTCTGAGGTCCTGGGTGCCCACGAATTTGGGGGGACACGATTCGACCCAGTGGAGTTGCCAAACAGCAAGAAGTTACTTTTAGGTCTGTTGACCGGACGAACGCAGGTCTGGAAGAAAGTGGGAAATCCATGTGCTTTTAGAAATTGCTTCAGAGGACCCCCAGTCTTGACCGCCTGGCTCCTGTCTACCACCCACTTTGTCTTCTCAACACACACTTCGGCTGGTTCCAGCAGATTGTCATCGTAACGGGGTTGTCATCTTAGCGGCCTTGGCGCATGCGAGCGCAGAGATCGAGGGGCAATCCTGCTCAGAAGTGAAACTTCCTAGAGAGCTGCTGATCGTTAAACCATTTTTAAAAAGATTTAAACTCAGGACACGGGGAAGTACACAGGTTCAAAGTCAGTCGGAACCAGGCTTAGAAACCGACTTCGCCTTTCATTAGCAGCGTGGACTTGGGCCAGCCAGTTGACCTCTCACCCTGCCAGTCTCCCTGCCTATAAAACGGCAATAACCAGACCTCCCTGGCGGGGTTATGCTGAGAATGAACAAAGAGCACGTGCAAACTACCACCCCGAGTGACTGTCACGTCTAGATGACTCTCGGTGCATGGTGGCGTTACTATTCTTGGCGCCTCTGCTCTGGCTGTCACCTGGGCACTCTGGCTGGATCAGTCCACGGGGAAGCCGGCAGCCGTTAGTACCAGCATCGACCCGCACATCTCAGCAAGGGGAGGAGTCAGCCCGCCCAACACTTCCCGTGGGTGGCTTCCATGGCAGTGTCCCCAAGTGTAGGATGTCACAGCCCCGGCACACTGTTAGAGACTAAGACCCTCCACATTCCAACGACTTGTCCTACGCAAGGGCCTCGCCCCGGAAAATAGCCTAAGACGAAAATAGCGCCCAGCCCTCCAGCTATAGTTCCGAGAAGAATGCATTCCATGACGTGCTTGCTCCAGGGCATGCTACCTGCAATTGTTCCCGACCCCCTGCCAGGTTGGGGTTGAGTGATCAATCACAAACAGGTTCCGGTGCCATTGGGATGCTGATTGGGGCTGATTGGCCCACACCCAAGCCTCATCATCCCCCCACTCTATTTTTCTGTTTCTACTTCCTTGTTTCTGTATATAAAACCTACTAAAAATCTAAGTAAAGTAGACCTTGACAACCATTTGCTTGGTCTCGTTCCTTTCTCTCGCCCATCTCTTTCAGGCAAGGTCCCCCTTGACCCCTGTGAGTAACAGAAGGTCCCGCGGGTCGGGACAGCACACAGAGTTCCCGGGCAGGCTGCTGCTCCCAGGGCTTTGACGCTTTTCCAGAAGGAAAAAGAAGAGGAGATGAAACTCGCTCTCCCCATGTGCCATGTGCCCCCTCTGCCCAAGCGTGAATCGAACTCCCCAACACACACCGGCACGGCAGTTGCAAACTCAGGGAGGACAGGGCGGGGCGCGTGTCCGTCCCGTCTCGTTCTTCAGTACATCCTCGGAGCCTGCGACAGTGCCGCCCACGCGATAGGGCTCTGAACGAGAAGAAGGAACAGTAACGATGACAACGCCCGTTATTGCGTTGTGTCTACCACATGCCACTCCCCGTCCTTAAAGATGATCACCCCTAGTGCTCACAGCAGCCCAGCTAGGATGGTCCCGTTCTCAGATTAGGAAACTGAGGCAGGGAGAGTTTCAGTAACTCGCCCTCTATGAGACCCTCTCCTGCCTCCTCGCTGCCTGTCGGAGCCCCTGCTGCCCGGGCCACCCCGGGACCTCTCACTCCGCCTGCGAAGGGGAGCGGAGCATCCAGAGGGGGCAGGGACAGAGTCTTCCCTTGAGACTGGGGTTGGGGCGTGGCCCTGCCGACACCCACAGTGTGACTTGCAGCCTGCAGAACTGAGAAAGAACAAATGTCCTTTGTGTCAAGCCGCCCAGTTTGCGGCCCCTCCTCAAGGCAGCCCCAGCAAACAGATACAGAGACCCTCCGCTCATTTTTGGACGACAGAATCAACTACTGAGCAAGGCGGTTTTTCAAGGTCATTGACGTTTGAGTCTCAGTGTGAACGTGGGCTGGATGTTTTCTGGGTGTGGGACTATTCTGAGATCTCATCCTTGTGAGAGTCCAAAATCAGGGTGGGCATCGAACCCCCGACTCAAACCTTCCACCTTCCATGGCATCCTTAATATTACCCCTAACCCTGCAGGTACGAGCCAGGCTCCAGGTTTCTCCCAACACGACTTTTTAGATTATTTCCCAGGGGAGCAAAAGAGAAGGGGACACTTGTCAATCAACCTGACGTGTCCTGCAGTGGTGACCACTTGACTTACTCTCTACCACTCGCTCCACTGTGAATCTAATCAAGGGATAACTGATTTTCTCTTAGAACACCCGGTAACAAGTGCCTAGGGTAAAGATCAATATTGTTTTTGTCGTGCTAAAAGATTGAATTAAAGTATTAGCTGTCGAGACAGAAGGTAGTAAAGTAAGAACGAGGGATTAGCTAGAAATTTCCCTAGAGTCATTTTTTTTCTCAACCCCCCCCCAGTACACTTATATATAAATGAAACAATATTTTGCAAAAATGTTCTTACAGTTTGTGACACACTCTGATATTTCATAATCTCTTTCTCTTGTTTAATCTTGATATCGATGCACTAAATTGATTTCACATCCTACGAATGTGTCAAAACTCTCAGTTCATAAAACTCATTGGGGAAATTTGTTGTGTTTTGTTTTGTTTTGTTTTGTTTTGTTTTGTTTGGAGACAGAGTCTCACTCTGTTGCCCTGGCTAGAGTGCTGTGGTGTCATCGTAACTCACTGAGCCTTAAATTCCTGGGCTCCAGCGATCCTCCTGCCCCAGCCTCCCGAGTAGCTGGGACTACAGGCACCGTGCCTCAATGTCTGGCTAATTTTTCTATTTTCAGTAGAGACAGGGGTCTCGTTCTTACTCAGGCTGGTCTCAAACTCCTGTCCTCAAATGATCCTCCCACCTCGGCCTCCCAGAGTGCTAGGATTACAGGCGTGAGCCACGGGACCCGGCCTCATTGAGGAAATTTGATTATGGACTGAGCATGAGATGGTATTTTTGTGTTAGCTGTAATAACAGCACTGCGGTTCTCTAAGAAAGTGTCCTTATTTCATAGCGATTTCATGAGAAGCAGACCTAGCACTCCTGGAGGCTCGCTCCCCTCCTGGTCTCTGTGGGTTAACAGGCCTGGCTCCCCGGCCTGGGCCCATCTGCAGCGAGGCAGGGCTGACGGAACCCAGCTGCCGTCTTCCCGTGGGGACGAGGGTCTGCCCAGGGGCTGAGCTCATGTTGTCACGCCAAACTTTCTATCCACTAGGTAATGGGAAGTGGCCCATGAAACTCATGAGGAGGCAGGAGGTCTCGTAGCCTCAGCGAGGAGATCAGACAAGTACAGGAGACCCTCATTCGTGCCTTTCTAAATCACCTAAGAGTTTGCTTCGCTTGGTTTCTTTGCAGCCTCCAAAGCACATTATTTTCCTCTGTATTAGCCGATTAGCTCTTGCATTATCCTATTCTCTTTTTTTTTTTTTTGAGGAAGAAACACTGATTTTTAATGCATGTGCAGTAAAAATATTAAATATACATATACTCATGGCGTGACTCTGGGCCATATTTTTTCTTTCAGAAATGACACAAACTAATAAATAATTCATTCCACCGAGGAGTTAGCTATAAACATGGCGCTAAATTTTCTGATTTTTAAGTTCAGCAACATGTGAATATTTGGTGGCAATGAATTATTAAAGGTGTCCTGGTCAGGAAAATGTCAGTTGATTCTTTCCTGAAGTGGCATTGTTTCTGTTCCAAATAGGAATGTTCAAAAAAAAAAAAAAAAAAACAGCTGGAAGAACAGTGAGAGTTTAGGAAAACATCATTTAACGTTGTTAATGCCAAACATCTCCTAAAGTTCAAGGGATTGATTTCTAAACGGCTATATAAGCAGAAGTATCCAAGTGTTTGCAAGAATAAAATAATCATAGCAAGTGGAAAAGGAACTTAGAGATGTCTAGAGGGGTTGAGAGGAAAGATTTATTTCTAAAACAGCTTGCTACTAAAGGTAAGGACCTATAAAAAAATATGTCACTGTTATCACAGGCTAGAATGCTAACCTAGCATCAAGGAGAGTTACGAATTTACTTTCCTAAAGATCTTAAAGGAAATTCAGCATCGACCTGATTCAACCCATCGGAGATCATCATGTAATAGTAGCATTTTATCCAACTCATGCATTCATCGTGCAAATTGCAAAAAGCACGGGGGGCGTGATGCCTGCCCTGGTGGAGTGTGATGTCCACATGTGACAAGCCTCGCTAGCCATAGGCAGCCACTGAAAAATCAAGTAAGTGCTGCACAGCGTGTCTGGTATGTAGGTGAAATATGAGTTTGGAGAAGAGAAAGAACATTGTAGGCAGGAGTGATCCAGGAAGATATATAGCCCTGAAGCTACTGGGGAAGAAAATGGAGCAATTTTTTTCCCTTTAATTGTAAAAAAAAAAAAAAAAGACACACACACACACAACATAAAATTAGCCCTCTTAATCATTTTTAAGCGTGCAGTACTGTGGTGTCAAGTATATGCACCTTGTACAACAGATCTCCAGAATATTTTCAACTTGCAAAACTGAAACTCTATAGCCATTGAATAACTCTCCATGTCCCTCCTCCCCCCAGCCCCCCAGCCCCTGGCATCCACCATTCTGCTTTCTCTTTCTACAATTCTGACTGTGCTAGGATGATGTAATGACTCCTGGTGGAAAGCATGCCAACAGTCAGTGCCACATTGCAAAACTGCTACTGCCAGTTCGGTCCAGTCCAGTCCTTAGTCACTGGGGAAAAATAAGCGGGAATCTAGCTTAGGAGAAGTTGGAGAAAGGTGTATGTAGCTTGGCAAGTGCGGAGCAGTGATTGTGAGTATTAGGTACCAGGTCAAACCAGAAAATCCTGCTTTAAAAAACAAAAAAAAAAAAAGCAAGGTAAAATCGGGTCAGGTCTGAGCCTCCGTGAATTGCAGCTTGCACGGTACATGGCAAAAGTAGGTCCAAGCCAAAACAATGCGGAAGAGCACAGTGCAGAAGAAATGAGGTGTCCCCAAGAGTAGCAGGCATAAGAAGACCGGGCAAGCACTGTGCCCGTCTTCCAGAACAGGGAGCAAGACTGCTGCACGGTGCCCTAAAGGGGTCCCCTTGTCCCCTAGGTGGAGAAGCAGCTCGGTGTGTTCACTGGGCAGCAGCTCTGAGCGTGCCACCTGCTGACTTCTCAAAGATTCCAGGTGGCACATGAGGCATGGCGTGCTCAGCTGTAATCACACTCAGACGGCTCTCGTCTCATCTTCTTAGATCGTCCTATAAAGCCGTGATGTCTTTCTTTTTTTAACTTATTAGTCCAAGATAAGTCTTGATGCATGTTCTATTACAGTCACCACTAACCCCAAGCAGGACAATGAATGAATGGTCTCGTATTCAGACATTTCTGGCGGTCTGGGAAGGGCCTGTGTGGACGTGTAGGACTGGTTGCATGTGTTCTCTTGGCCCAACCTGCCGCCACGAAAATGGAAGTGATAATGGTACCAATTTATAGGGAAAAGGAGCTCCTTAACCACTTCGGTGCCAGCGTCGACTGTAGCCGACAGCCACAGATGAACGCGCACAGCGACTTTAGCCGACAGCCGTGACCATATGACTTTCCTAATTTTTCATTTATCAAAGTAAAATTGTGAACATTTAAAAATAACGTGATAAAAACATATATGTCTACGTTACCTATTCTGACTTACATTACAAGTAAAGCTGCCTGTATGGTAAAACAAGCTTTCAGGGCTTTCAAGCTGTCCTCATCACACAAGAGCAAAACAGACTCGAC